TCTTATCGCAATGTAATTAAAAAAGATTCCAGTATCTGTGTGGTGAAAGTTTAGAAAATAATTCAAATTATTAATATTTTTGTATACATCAGAATAACTACTAGCCTCCTGAGCTGAAAGACTGGGACAGGAAGCGGAGTAGACCACCTGGAATCCAGGAGGAAGTAGTTAGTGACCTGCTGAGCCATTTAGGCACTCATACATATATAGGACTGGGTGGGATTCATCCAAGTGTACTGAGGGAGCTGGCAGAAGAGCTCACAAAGCTGCTCTCCATTGTTTGTCATCAGTCCTGGCTACCCAGGAAGGTCGACTGGAGGTTAGCCAAGGTGGTGTCCATCCACAAAAAGGTCCGGAAGAAGGATCTGGGGAACTACAGGCCTGTTAGCCTGACCTTGCTGTCCAGGAAGGTTACGGAATAGGTTATCTTGACTATGATCACACTTACAGGAGAGCCAAGGGGTCAGGCCCAGCCAGTATGGGTTTAGGAAACCGGGTGACTTACCTCATGCATGAGGGGCAGGGCTGTGGATGGTGTCTACCTGGACTTCAGTAAAGCCTTTGACTCTGTTTCCCACAGCATTCTTCTGGAGAAACTGGCTGCCCGGAACAGATGTACTCTTTGCTGGGTTAAAAACTGCCTGGATGGGCAGACTAGAGGGTGGTGGTGAATGGTGTCATATCCAATTGGTGTTCAATTACAAGTGCTCAGGGCTCAGTGGTGGGGCCAGTTCTGTATAATATCTTTACTTGTGATCTGGGTGAAGGGATTGGGTATGTCCTCAGTTTGCAGATGACACTAATTTGGATGGGAATGTTGATCTGGTGGAGGGTGGGAGGGATCTGGACAGGCTGGATCGATGTACTGAGGCCAGTGTTATGAGGTTCAACAAGGCCGAGTGCTGGGGCCTACGCTTCAGTCACAGCAGCCCCATGCAACGCTAAAGGCTTGAGGAAAAGTGTCTGGAAAGCTGCCCAATGGAAAAGGACTTGGGGGTGCTTTTTGATAGCCAAGTGAACATGTGCCATTGTGTGCCCAGGTGGGCAAGAAGGCCAGTGGCATCCTGGCCTGTACCAGACACAGCATGGCCAGCAGGAGCAGGGCAGGGATTGTCCCCCTGAACTTGGCATTGCTGAGACCACATGTCAAGTGCTGTGTCCAGTTCTGGGCCCCTCATTGCAAGAAGACACTGGAGAGTGCTGGGGAAGGGCCTGGAGCACAAATGCTACAAGGAGCTCTGAGGGAGCTGGGAGTGTTTAGCCTGGAGAAAAGGAGGCTCAGGGGTGACCTTGCCACTCTCTACAAATGCCTGGATGGAGGCTGCAACCAGGTGGGGTCAGCCTCTTCCCCCTGGCTGCTGATAGCAGGACAAGAGAACAGAGCTTCAAGTTGTGCCAGGGGAGGTTCAGTTTGGATATCTGGAAGAATTCTCTCATGGAAAAGGTTGTTAAACATTGGAGTGGACTGCCCAGGAAGGTGGTAGAGTAACCATGCCTGGAGGTGTTCAGGAAAAGACTGGATATGGCACTTAGTGCCATTCTCTAGCTGATAAGGTGGTGATTAGTCAAAGGCTGGACTTGATTAACTTAGAGGTCGTCTTAAATCTAAATGATTCTGTGATTTTTTTGACAACTGCCTTATGCTAAGGGTTGAATTGATAGGTACAGATTTTGGACTGTCTTGTATGTCAGTTGGGTCAACCACATGTGAAGAATGCCCCAGTAGTCCCTAGGTCTGCTTACAGTAACTAAAGAATTAAAAAAAAAAAAAAGAAAAAAAGAAAAAATAGAAAGACTGGTCTTCTCTGATTTTCATAACCGTTCTGGAATTAATTTCCTCTTTCAAATGTGATTTCTATGGGCAGATGTGCACTGAATTGCTACTATGCAGCTAAGCTGTAAATAATAGTAATAACTTGAAAAAAAGAGTATTTTGAGGAGACAACTTGCATATTGCTAAATGAGATGCTTGAAGTGTAAGCTTAGATATGAAGCTTGCTGGAAAAAATACATTTTGGAAATGTTGCTTTTTCTCTTAAATTAAAGCGAGTTTAATCTTATGTGATATTAAATTAAGGTCATACTGTGATTTCCTTGTGTATTACCTGCACTTCTAGCAGTTATGAAAATGAGCACTAATGCTAGGACATGAGCATGTGATCTTTTTCTTCTCTCAGGCACAGCTGTTGTCCCTTGTTTTTGCAAAAAATATGCAGTAAAGACAATAAAATAGTAGTGTTTTCTTGGGTTAATTTCCAAATGGCAGTGGGGAACATAGAAGCAATATTCAAAGGTACAGCTTAGAAGCTATTAATTTATCCAATTTTTTAATATTTGGAATCATGGATGAAGCAGGAATTGAAGGAGCAGGGATGGGTCTTTGATTAGAAAACTGCTCCAAGCAGAGTATTTCCTCTAGAGCCACCCTAGGTCTTTGGCAGAGAGTTTTTCCTGTCTACAAAATTAAAATGCTTTGCTCATCTTGTCATTATTCATTATGATTTTTGCCTGTTTTGGGAAAAACAATGTAGTAGATGATCACTGCTCAGTACAGTGAGCTCTCTTGCCTAAAGCACACATACACAAGTGCAGCAGATTTGGGCAAACTGCATTCCCTGGGCTGCTGCCTGTTTTGTGTGGTTGAGAAATACTTCACATGTACTGAAACAGGCATGTTTTGTCCTTCTACAGTCAGTCTTTGTGACGTGCTTTTTCAATTCAGCATACCCTGCAAAACTGGGAGGCTTTACATTGCTTTAGAAAAGAAGATTAATGCTGGTTAGGAGGATGATATTAATTTGAGTAGAATAATTTTAGCTACTAGGTGAAAAAGTGAAGATGACATAATCCTCGAGTAAAGGAACTAAATAGGACTAGCTGTAAGGACAATTTTTTTAAATTTTTTTTTTTAAATGACAGTGAGCACTATAGAAGAGGCCAGACTAGTTTCACATCTGGATGTGAGGTTTACACTAATTTATCAGAGAGAGATTTTCTCTGAATATTTAAAACTTGTGTAATCTTACTCCCAGTGCTGCATATTTACTGATTTCTGGAAAAATGGTTCAGGTGTCCTGGAAAATGTAGAAGAATTTTTTGTTTAAGGAAACATTGAAATATTCTTAATAATGAAATTTTTACCGACTAGTTGTAATAGTGCTTCCAGAAACATTAGCATCAGAAGTGCTTGCAGAAAGCATCTGCGGAATAGAATTTGAAGGAAGAAGCAACTTCAACAGTGTATGGATGTAGGTTTTGCTGGGTCATATTCCTCTTACGAAGTAAAGTAGCTGTGGAGTCTCAATTCCAAATAAATTTAGGGCTTATGAACAAGGTGTGCATTTAATTATGCTGGAAAATGTTGTTCTGGGGAGGGGCTGGGAAAAATCTTTTATTAGAAAACTACCTGTGTCAGTGCAGATAAACAAATTTTAAAATTCAATTCCTGTAAGCCTTTGAATTTCACATTTGAAAATTGTTTTCGTCTACTTCTGCAAATAATTATTAATTCAAGCAAATGCAGATGCATGAGCAAGGCTGAAGGCAATCAGCTCTGAAATTCATGTTTTTCCTTGTGGATTTTTCAATCTGGCAATTTGTGTAGTCAATACTTAATGTAAAAGCAACTACTTTACATTAAAAGTATTCTGAGTTTGTGTAGGAAGGTATCGTTCATGGGGACAACACCCCCTCCACTCTTTTTTTTTTTTTTTTTAAGCTATAAACTGACTGGAATATAGATTACTTGTTTCTTAAAAAAACCTTAATGATAAAAATGTAAAATAAAAGCAAAAAAGTAGGTGAGGCTCGCTGACTCTTGAAGTCCTTCCAAGGCAGAATGAAATTAAATTACTCTGGCGAAGAAAGCTGGTATTAAGTTTGATGGATTATTCAACATCTGTCTAGTGTATATCTCAACACTTAGCTGGATGTTATGCAGATTCATTAGTCTAGAAGAATGTGATTCAAGTTTAAATGTTAAAATATAGCAGTGTGTTGAAGCAGACTTCACCCTTCTGTTGTTCTACATTTTATTTTACTTAGAGGCTTAGAGGCTGAGGAGGAGATGTGTTTGAGTTTTGATTTGCATGCACCCTAATAGTCTTTTCAGCCTTTCAACTGCCTGTAGCGTGAATGCACATGTTTTTTAAGAATGTGCATATTATCCGCTTTGGTTTTGTTCAGCTATTTCTCAGTAAATTGAAAGCTGGCAGAATGAGTGAGAATTGTACTGTTTTATTAATTTTTAGCATGTGCCAAGAGAAAAAATAGTACATATATTCTCTGTTTTGCATACGGCTTTGGAATAATTTCTTTTCTTTTGAAAGCTAAGATACTTCTTTAAAACAAGAAGTGTTCAGCCCTGAGAAATTATAGTCCAGAAACCCTGGGCGTACAATGATGATGAAATACTGACCAGTTTGCTTAATTCCTCTCTTATTTCTGCTCAGTCTCCTAGACGTTGGAGAACTTAATTTTTGTATCAAAAGCAGGTACATAACCTTTATTTAAAATAACCTACATTTAAAATACAGAATGTTTGCAACTAAAACTTAACTAGGGAGAAGTGAAAGAATCTGTTTTGCTGCTGCTTCTATCAGTATTCATTATGGAAGGATAGGACTGATTTATGTGTGAGAATGAAAAAGAGCAAGCTTTTGCTATCTCATAACTGGTGTGAATCCAGGAAGTCTTGTTGCAGAGATCCTGAAAATTTACATTATACATTATTTCCCATTGACTCCTCCATATTTTGACTACTGATCTTCTCATCTCTGTCACAGCAGATTTTTTTTAAAGTGCCTTGTGTTATTCAGCTCTTTTCATCCTTAAGTAATGTTTAAATGGAGAGAAAGATCCTTTGGCATTTGAAAAATGTAATAATTTGTTTTTGATGGTTATTTAGATTAACTTCATTTAATTCTAGTCCTGATATTTAACATTGTTAAAATAATTACTTCATCATTCTTCAAGTTATTCCTTAATGGTACCAATTCCAGCTTTGGTCGGCCAGGAGTTGAATGCTACTGTCAACATGACAGTGGAGCTGCAGTAATCCAACTTCAGTTCCTGATTAATGAGGTTAGTAAAATGATTTATGTGTAGTTAATAGAAGATATGGAACATATTTTCTTTAATTTTTCATGATGCAAACATTAAAATTACCAGATATAAGTGATCTATCACAAAGAGCAAACTGTAATAACAACTATAAAAAAATTGACTTTTTTAGTTTTGGAAAATGTTTGACTAACTTCTAAAAAGGTCTTTATCTCTAAAGTACTCTTTTGCTATAAAAAATAATTAGGAATATCTTTTCATGTACTTGAATGTTGCAAGTTATCTCTGGAATTTGTGAAGTACTTTTTCAATAACACTACCAGTTTCAGTAGGTAGTTAATTTTATTTTGATAGAGTTACTGTCTTAGACATGAACTGAATAAAGTTGCTTCAGTTTCAGATGTGTGTTTCTAAGGATGTAGCAGCTGAGATCTGACAGCAGTGCTGTTCTTGAGCTAGGGACAGTTTTTTAGAGGGATCTCGCTAGCTTTGTCAGCACCCAGATATTAGCAGTTCATTGCTTGATTTCTCTGCAGAAATGTGCATGAGGAAACTGATGGGCACACACTGGAAAAAACTCCTCCATCATCTCTCATTATAGCACTGAACAAAATATGAGTGAGCTGAACAAGATGTGATCACATCAGTTATCTCACTCCTACTGCTTAGAACTTATCTGTACTGTGGTGCTGATGGAGATGCTTATATATTTTTTTCATCCTGGTAATAAATATGTAAGATATTTCCACTGTGATGCTACACTGTTCCTAGGGTTATGAAAACAAGTTGACTAAAATGTTTTTTGTTCTCCTAGGGAGCTCTTGTGAGTGCCTTGGCTGATGACACCTTACACCTGTGGAACTTGCGCCAGAAGAGACCAGCTATACTTCATTCACTCAAATTTAACCGGGAACGGTAGGGATTGGTTATTAATGCAGTGCCCCTGAGCATCACACTCATGCTATTGTAAGATCAGATCTTATTGATGCAGTCCAAGTCATAACTTGGTACATAATTGAAACTGGGCTTACACTGGGTTTGAATTTCAATCTTTCAATCAAATGTTAGGCCCCACAGTAGTTGTGAATAAGACACACTAGTGACCTAAACTGAGATGCCTTTTCTATCACTTTATGTGTTTCATTGCTGAACATCAATTTTAATATCTTTAAAATGTGGAGGGATAGAATAATTTGAATGTATGTCTATAGAGGAATTTTGGAGCAGGTGTGTGCACCATCAAGAGAACCAGACTGGAAACTGAAATTTTTTCTCCCTTGATGGCAAACCAGAATTCTGCACTGTTAGAGCACTTGTTTGTATCAGAGTAGCTGAAAACCACTTGCATTTTAATTAAAATTTTCTCTACTCAAGTAATATAATTGTAAGCAAGCTAGAGAGACATTTAAGATTAAATTACCAGAAGTCAGTTGACTAAATTTCTGAAAAACATGTCCTTTGTTTTTAAAGCAAGTATTCCTTCCCTTTTAGGAGGTATTCCTTCTTTTCCAGCATATGTAAAGTGTCAGCTGGAGTGCTGTGTTCACTTTTGAACAATATGCATTAGAGATGGACTGCTTGGGGAGCTCAGAGGATACTAGCAAGAACACAGAATAATCTGTGACTTGTATTTCTTTTGAATAGAGAAGGAGGTAATAAATTTTAAGTAATAAATAGCAAAAAAAGTTAAATACTTAAGTAATACCTTCTAATGTAGTGTCATGCAAATGCTAAACAAACTGTTGGGTAGGTGAAAGTTTTAAAGAGCAGTAGTTTTAAAGAGCAGCTTATGAACAAATTCATTAGGAGCAACATAAATGCAGATTACTGGGGTTTCTTTGTATAGAGGATTAAGTGATTTTAAGTCCTTTTTTGAAATTATTTCTATGATCACCATGTATAAAATCTTAGGGCGTATAGGAATAGGACAAGGGGTAATGACTTTAAAGTGAAAGAGGGTAGATTTAGATTGGATATTGAAAGAAATTCTTCACTGTGAGGGTGACGAGATGCTGTAACTGCTTTCCCAGAGAAGTAGTGGGTGCCTCATTCCTGGAAGTGTTCTAGAACAGGTTGGATGGGGCTTTGCTCAACTATCTACTGAAAAATGTCCCTGCCTGCAGCAGGTGAGTTGGACTAAGTGATCTTTAATGACCCCTTCAGGCCTGGACAATTCTGTGATTCTGAACTGTTATACAGAAAACAGAAAGCTTTGTTAACTGAGGCTAATTCTCTGCCCCAAAGGAGTAGCAGTGTTCCTTTATGCAGTATAAAATTCTTTAAATGGAGAGAAATGCAGTTTGCAGCCACTAGTTTAATGAGGATTGTCCATGTGTAAGAGATACAGTAGTGTGTCCAAACTGAATTTTCTGTTTCTCCCTTCCTCTTTTTTAGTGACTCTTCTCTTACTTGTAGTATCTACCTAAGTGTTGGTGTAAAATTAGGGTTTGTATTCTGAAACCACACTTAACCATGGGCTTCTAGCTAATGCTTTAAAACAGGTATCTGAGATGATTCTGATTGTGTGCAAATCTGTTGTAGGCTGGCTTAGAGTTTTAGATGTGTGGATATCTTTGGTTAAGCCAAGTGAAAGTTTTAAACCATAGTTTTTCTGTAAATGTAGTAATGTCAGTAGCAAAACCCATCAGTGGGAGTTGAGTGGGGTTAGAAAGGAGTCTTGGTCACTGATGTTGCCTTAGTGGCTGATTTAGTTACTAATCCTGTCTTGCCAAGGTGTAAGTAATGAGAGCACCACAGTTACTATGAGTGGTGTAGGCATAGCTTGAGGCAATGGCTTATTCTTCTAGCAATTTTAATTTTAAAATATCTATTATAATAACATATATAAATAGCCAGAACACTTAAGATTCCCAGATCTGTACCTTGTCATAGCCACTTAGGTCATGCTGGATGACTGTTAACTGTTTTCAAATATTCTGTTTTCTTTTGCCTAGTTTATAAAATACAACTCTATAAAATAACATATAATTTCATTATCATGTAAATATTTTGATTTGAACTGCAAAAAATTCACTGTTAAATATTTCTAAATAGGGGCCTTTATAACACTCAGTTCATCACACCTAATAATTTTAATATGCTAGATGAATCTGAAGTAAACGGGCTTTTCCTAGGTTGGTTTTATGCTCTATATTAACAACTAAGTTTATTGAGGAGAGTGTTCATGATGTAAATTAGTTAAGCACAGTCCGTTCTTTCAGACCTTTCTGGAAATGTGTCAGATGGTTTTGCAGGTCTTTGCTGGTTTTAATCCCACCCTATAGTCCATGTCCACTTCCTGCACTTGCTTAGTGTGTTCTTTCTAAAGGAAAAGTGCTTCTCTATCTCCACTTGACCCCCCTTCTCCAACCTGTTCTTTCTCATGGTGTGTTAATACCCATAGTCCTTGGATTTACCAGCAATTCTTATCTTTTAGTAATAACAGTCCTTGGCTGGCTCCACAGCCATCCAGTTTTCTGTATTTGAGACATACACATTAGCCTCTTATCTTATGGGAATTGAGAGCTCAAAGGGATCTCACTGTGGACTGCTGTTTATAGGGTTGTTAGACAATGGGTTTTAATACACAATAGCCCCTTATAATACAGAGCTCAAAAGAGTTTCACTTTGGACCACTATTTATAGGGTAGCAAGAGAGTGGGCTTTAGTTGTAGTAATTTTCCATCCTGGCCAATTTGAGTTGGTAACTTTCTTTGACTGTTCAACAATAAAAATATTATTCCACTTGGGTTGCTATTCAGACAAGAAATATAAATTTCCAAGGCTGTTTTTTAAAAGCAGATGTTCATTAGACACCTCTTAGTTCCTGGGAATAGACAGTGTTTCTGATAAGCTCAAGGGGAATTTAGTCCAAGTGCAGTTCATCACGACCACGGCATAATGAGCATTTCTCAGGTCAGAGAAGTCGGTGTCCTGGGTGACACAGGCATGCAGCACCACAACCCATACCATGACTAAAGTCAGCTCCTCTCAGCCTCCACATTCTCAAGTCACAAGCATGAAATTGATATAAACCTAATTAATAACAATTTTAAACTACTTTATGTCGTGAGATTAAGATCTGTTCCTAAGGATAACTAACTTCTCAAACAGGATTTATTTCAAGTATTTTGTGTGCTGCAACACAGTCTTATAAGTGTCTTCTCTAATGATACTTTGTGAGTTTGTGAAGGGAGATTAAGTATCTTGGAACTCATTATATGACTGAAACAATGATTGTAGTGGCATCAATATTTGCTCTAGGATTTTTGAGGTGAAGGTTTAAAATTATTTAACTGATTTGATTTACCTGTAAGTGTGCTGAAATTGCAGAAAAGCAGCATTTGTGTCCTATTTAACAGGAATTAAACTTTAGTCTGTCACAGGCAAATTTTTATTCAGTTTTTGTTTCTAAATAACAATTTCATATGAAAGGTTTAGATTTGAACTAAAACGTTGTCTGAAGTATAGAAAGATAACTAGCATTTAGCTACCCACATGAAAGGATTTTCTTAGTCTTGAAGCCTATTCATTAACTGTGTTTAAAAAAATATTAATTAAAGCAAGTGATAAGGCTATGGCTTCATTTAGAGTTTTAAATCTGTAAATTATTTCGGAAAGCAATCTCTAGTATATGACAGGAAAGTGATGTGAATTCTTGCTTTCCTACTCATGACTTTTAAGAACAGGGAGTGGTGAGAAAGAGCTGATTCTTTTAAATATAGTTCTGTGCCATTACAGGCTTTGTTCTGATACATGGAAAATGTCTTTGGGTAATTTGCATAATGTTAGATTTGAGCAAAACATTTCTTTAAAAGCAATGGCCAAGAGTCATGAAAGATGCTACTTACAGTTGAATCATTAAATTAGTTAAGAATCTGTAGATAAAAAATTGACCATTAATGGATTCATAGCTCTTGACCTCCTTTTGTAACAGTGATAGTAATTTGAAGCAAGTCTTTTGAAGTGGGAATTAGTGAGGTTTTAGATGTATAAGAAATAAGTTAGTTGAAATTACTGATGACTGAGATGTCAAAAACTCAGTGCAAAACAAGCTAGCTCAAGTTTTCTAGCCTTTTGTTTGCTGCATTTGTGGAGGTTTTGCAGCTGCTCTATGTTCCAAACAAGAGTCAGGAAATAGTAAACCAATGTCATGCTTGGCCGCTGTTCCTTGATTGTGGGAAGCAGTGTGTAGGGACCAGGACAAAAATGCATAATGATGGGGGGCAATTGCTTGTGTGACTTGTCATGCAGGTTAAAAGGGTCTAAATGCTATCTCTTTTCAGAATGCATAATTCAGTGTGTGAACTTTGTATTTCAGGTTTCATAGTTCTCTAAGATGTCTTCAGTGGATCATTATGTAGTTCCTTTGTCATCTACATATTGATGTATAAGTACCTTAAACACAAGATTGTTGTGTGTTAACAATCAGATGCAAGATTCAAGTCAAGTTTGCTTTAACTCAGTTATAAATGTTACACTAGGCTAACTCTGAAATAAGTGTAGTTAAAACACCATATTGGATTAAATACTGAAAGCATGTTGTGAGATAGATACATACGTACGTACGTACCTAATTTGGTTTTAGCTTCCTGCTATGCAGAAACTGTTAAACTTGATGCTGATCTAAGGTGTGAAAAGTCAAACATGCATCACTAACCAGCCAGGGACTTTTGCAGATCCTCTTTTGAGAGGGTGGAGTGACAGACTAACTTGATTTTAAAAAGTGGCATGGGATGACAAATTTGAGGCCCCTTTGCCAGCCAAAGCAAACCAGCTTTGTATACAAGTATGAAAAATTTGTTTCATTATCCAAGACTTACATCCTTCCTGAGATGACATGCCCTGTTCTAATGCCAAAAGAAAGTTTGTCTTTATGGTAAGTTACAAAGCAAGAATGGCATAAAAATAGAACT